GCTTGGGCCAAGCACTCAATTCTCTCTCCAAGTCTCCCGCAGCTGCACCCCAACAGTGCCAGCTATAGAGAGAGGAGGCATGGCGTTAGAGCCCATCGTCGCATTGGAAATCAGCCTCTTAGATCATCAATGCAGAGTCGGCGGGACGACTGTTCCAGATAAGACAGCTTTCAGTGCACGGGTATTCAGGGCATTCTGGAACTTTCCTGAGCAGGACAGCTCATCGCTCCTCTGCCCCGAGGTATCCCAGCAACAAGACTGCCTACCCGCTGGCCTTTCTAGCTGCCCTGCTTCTGCCATCGTTCTGCTTGGCAAACCGGCCTTATCTGTACATTGATGAGTCATGCCTTCTGTACTTTCAAAGCTTTATCCCTGCAGGGAAGATTCTGGTAAGTACCTTCCCTCTCGCTGCCTCTGAATACCCCATGCCTCCCTCTTAGGGCTATTTCTGAGGCTCTTAAAGAAAATGGAACTTTTTGGCCGTTGGAATAGGATAGTTGCAAAAAGAAAAAGGCTCGGGACGGGGGCAGTGGTGTCACGATGCGGTGGCCGGGAAACATATTCCAATCTCTCCTCTTCCGGTTTGACGGCTTGAGTATCTGGAAGGTTCTAGGTGTCGTACCGTGTGTGAGAATTCTTGGACTCGGAAACTATACAAATCAAAGGAAAATGACACCTGGGAACTTTTGACACACACAGACGTGGTGCCACCTCTACCGTACCTCGTCTCTTCTGCAGTCCGTTCTCGATTGCACAGAGACTGGCACTCATCTAGAGTTGCAAACGCTGCGTTTGCGTCCCGGCTCTGATACTAATGACCGCGGACGGCGCACTTAACTTCTCTGGACCTCGACTCCCTCATCTGCAAAACGGGGGACCTGGGGGACTCGCCTCTGTGGGTCCCACCGTTCTCAAACTCGAGGTAGTAGAGAGACACTGCCTGCTCTCCCCCAGCCAAGGGTTTCCCACGTGCAAAACGAGCCAGCTGAGCCCCGGCCGCTTCACGCAGGTAACGAAGGAGATGATGCACATGCCTCCGCTCTGTTAAAGGTGACGTTCTACCAGATGTGATGTGTCACTGTTTTGAGGACGAAGACCACCGGCCCACCAACGCACGCTCTCGAGCTACTAGTAACAGGACCCTTCTCTGACTAACTGAAACGAACGTGAATTTGTTTTCGTTTTTGTTTTTCGAGAAGTACTCGTCACGTCTCTACAGAGCCTCATCTGGACAATCTTTATGTTTTTGTCTGAATTTTTAAAAATTATAGTGAGAACATTTACCATAAGATCTACCCTTTTAACAAAACGTTAAGGGTACAATACAGTCCTGTCAACTATAGGCATGGGGTTAAAGATAAGGTCTCTGGAACTTATTCATCTGGGTAAAGTGCTACGATTTATGTTATGTTTGTGCTGCTCTATTTCTTAGAGAAAAAAATTATTCCTTCAGCCCCCTTCCTCTATCAAAGAGTAGAAAAATGGAAGCTAGACCGAGAGGGCCAGGTGTTTCCAGGAAAATGGGAGACAGTGTATTTCTTTACAAAAAAAAAAAGAATGTACAGTAGTTCTGCACACTCACGTTTATTACCTGCCCAGGCTCACGGGCGTTAAGAGTTTGCAATCCCCTCTCCTCTGCTGTGCTCCATATATTTCTTTCTATTTAATTATTTGTCTATCTATCAATCTATCTATCTATCTAAGTTTTATCTCTGGACACCTACCTGCCACTGTTCTTGGCACTGGGGAAACAGCACGAGACAGATGAAGTCCCTACCCTCATGTCACATGGGGCCCACGAGACACTGTGATGGTTTTCTGCTGTAGACCTGTCCTTCCACGAGACTAAGCTCCCCCAGTGGCTGTAGCCAGACCGCCTTGGACCTAACCCCAACCAGATGGCCTCGGGCACGTTACCAAACTTCTCCGTGCCTTGGTTTGCTCACCTGGGAAACGGGGCTGATCACTGTACCTTCCTTCCAGCGCTAGCATGAGGATGAGATAAGCTAAGACACAGGCCTCTCACAACAAACCCCCAGTGACTGTGTGCCCTGCTCACCCAGCTCTGTACCCTAAGCAGGGCCAGCTTCGCGGTGTGTGACCTGTGCGGTCACACAGGGCCCCACGCTTGGCTTAATGCTCTGCTGCTGCTGCTGTCCTGAAATTCTTAATTTTTGAACAAGGGGCCCTGCATTTTCATTTCTATATCAGTGGCTAGTCCGATAAGAGTCTGTTCAAAGTATGAATAAGTGAGCAGATTTAGCCAACCACAGCTGTCAGCTTGAGTATGCCACTGTCCTGCAGGACTAGCCCAGTAGGTCAGCCCTTGAGCAAAATTAAACATACCCTGTTGTGGACTCCCCCTGCCCCTTTCCTGGCTCCAGAAGCCTGTCCTAGAACCTTGTTCTCATCCGACCCATCCACTTCCCAGGAAACCTGAGGTTCCCTGTGCAGCCCGCAGAGAACCCGGTTCAATTCCTCGCTCCAGGTCACAGTCTGCGCACATCCTTCACCCCTCTCCCTCGCTCCCCGCTGGGCATTCCGGGAAGAGGCTTCCTGTCTCCTTCATCCTCATGTTACAGATAGGGACATGGACGCTTAGAAACAATAAGGTCGATCAAGATTCCCCATGCAGCCCGGTAACTCTGCCCAACTCATTTTATAAAGAATCTCCAACTACAGCCCCGGAGTCCAAACCACACAGATCATTTTCAGAGTGGCTAGTCACATAGGATAATTACAGGCTAAATCTGAGATTGCGCTCCTCCAGCCCTAATGACATCCCACGTTCCAACGCTCTGGCCCACTAAGGCAGGCAGAGACAAACCCATCTCCCCGTGCCCTGCGTGCCCTGGTCAGTGGGCGCTGGGCCCTTCATTCTTCAGTGTTTATGGAGAGTCTGCAACCTGCAGAAGCCGGCGATGCCAACGGGAAGAAAGCAGACAAAAGGGCCTGCCGTTCTGAGGGGAAAGAGACAGAAACGAAATAAAGATATGTGTGGTATGCCAGTGGTGCTAAGCGCTATGGAGAAAGGGGGCAGAGGAAGTGAGCTCCTCCGGGGGGGAGCAGAGATTTCAAATCTAAATAGGATTGTCAGGCCAAGCCTCCATGAGAGGGGGACTCAGAAACGGGAAGGTGAAGCAGCAGGTTAACTCAGTTCTGAAGGGCCGAAGTCCCGAGGCTCTGTCCGTGGTTCTGAAGTGGGAGGCTCCCTGAATGGACTCGGCAGCTTCGCCCGATCCCATTCGCTCCCTCTCCCCAGCCCCGGTTTCTCGTCTCAGTTCAGCTGCCTGCAGACAAATCCAATGTATAGGTTTTCAAACAATTACTTATTGAGCCTCTACCATAGCACTGCTGTATTTATCAACGTACTGGGGTTTTCATTTTGTTTTTATTTGGGGTGGTCGCATTTAAACTACAGTTCGCTGCAAAATTTCAGTAGCTAATTTGGCTTGAGATATCAGACCCTCGTGCCCTAAGACCGCATGACTCTGTAATCATCCGTCCCTGTCGGGCCTACAGCCTAGGTGCTCAGCACAGACCTAGCCTGAGGCCGCAGAGCCGTCCCCCCATGTTTGCCCCACCCCCAATGCCTGCCTGGGGGCCCCAACAACAGTGGACACATGCCCCTTGTTCGGCATGAGGGGGTCTCATCCATCTTGGGAGACCTGGAAGAGGCTGGGGGAAGCTCACGCAGTTCCTTCTCCCCGGGAAATGGACGTGGGGGCGGGGCAGAGAGGGGTCTTAGGCTTCTCTGAGTCCATCACGTGGTCTTGCATTGGCAGGTGCCACAGCCTGGCCACCGATGCCTCTCCTTCCTTCTCATTTCTGCAGAACCTTCCACGCACATGCACACGCACACACACACAACCCCCCCACAAACACATGCACACACACACGCAACCCACACACACACACACAACACACACACACACGCACACACACAACCCACACACACACGCAACACACACACACACGCACACACACAACTCACACACACACACGCACGCAACCCACACACACACACGCACACACTGTCTTGAGCCTCAGACAGACTTCTCTCCTTTCTCAATTCTGTTGTGGCCCCCGTAGGAGCTGCATGGGGAACCCTCCACCTGCCTATCCTGAGGAGAAGGGGGTGCCCATTCACCCCAACTCCACGATAGCCTAGATCCCACCTGCTTTACCTCTCCTACCCTTCACACAACCTTCAAACACTAGATCGCCCCCAGATGACTCCCACGTGGGTTCGCGCGTGTGCGCCTGGGATGCCCTGTGACTGTGGTCTTTGTGCACGTTGATGAGGGTGCCCCGCATTGGTGCCTGTCTGGGTATGGGACGAGGGGGCCTCCGTCTGCCTGTGTGAGTGTCTGACCGCGCAGGCACGCCTGGGCATTGTGTGACTTTGTGTGAATGTGGGTGAGTGTGTCCAGGAGCCGCAACGTCCTGACTCCTGACAGAAGGACTCTGTGGCAGGCTTCTCTCGGCGGGCCTGCATCCCCTTCAAAGGCACCCCAGCTCACGGAGGGCCCCCTTTGGCCTCCCCCAGAGTCGACACCCACACTCAGAGGCGGACACGCTTCCTTTCAGGTCAGCAGCTCTTGAGCATCCTCACTCCGACAGCCTCCCCTCCCCTCCCCCACGCCCTAGGTGGAGAACCCCTTATGGAGATGGGCTGGGAGCACTGGCGAGGGGCAAGAGAGGCGGCTGGGGGGAGAGTAGAGAAGGCGACCTGAGGACACGCTGGAGGAGCACAGAGCCGCTGCGGGAGAAGCAGGTCCCACCCACACCACGCCCCTCCCGCAGGGGTGGAGACGGGGTGGGCTGCTCCCACCCGGGTCTTCCTCTGGGGTTCCCAGGTCCAACTCGTCTCCTGAAACTGGAGCCGGGAGAGGCAGCTGAGACCCCCTCCATCCGAGCATCCCACCCACCGCATCCAGGCAGTTGCTGATTGGCTGCGGGGAGCTGCGTCCCAGCCCCCCGGCTCCGAGGCGGGAGCCGAGCGGGTCCGGGGTGGGAGGCGCACACACCGGCTCCGGGCTCCGGGAGCCCCTCCCGAGTGAGTCCCTGCGCCCTGCGCCGTGCGCCCTGCGGAAGGGCTGAGCCGGACGCGAGGCGGGCAGGTGCAGAGGGAGCAGAGGGGACCACGGCCAACCGTAGCAGCAAGTCCTGCGGGGACAGTGGCGCTGCCGCTCCAGCTGCTGCCTCGGCCGCCGCCACCCGCGAGCCGGCGTCCGGAGCCGGGCCAGCAGGCCGGGCGGGCGCAGCGGGGAGCGGGGGGCGCGCTCATGGAGCACACGCACGCCCACCTCGCCGCCAACAGCTCGCTGTCCTGGTCCCCCGGCGCGGCCTGCGGCTTGGGCTTCGTGCCCGTGGTCTACTACAGCCTCTTGCTGTGCCTCGGTTTACCAGGTGAGGGGCGCCGGGGAGAGGGAGGGAAGCCAGGAGCCCCCGGTGCGGGGCGCCCCAACCCGGGAAGCCCAGGCGGGTCCACCTTCTCGGCGCGAGCCCTGGCGCCGCCTCGGAAAAAGTTTAAGCCTGAAGGGCAGCTGCGGACACTGCCAGGCTGGGGGCGAAGGAAGTTGCCGTGGCGTAGCGGGGACTCGTGGTGTGTGTGCGCGCGTGTGTGTGCCTGTGAGTGTGGGTTGGTGTGCGAGCGCGCGTAGTAATCGAGGATGCTGCCCAGTATCTGTGTGCGTGTCTGAGGGATCGGCGTCCGCAGGGTCCAGCAGGGGCTGCCAGTGTGACCTGACTGCGCCTGGGGACAGACGGCTACATTGGGGCTTCGCTTCTCCCATAGCCCCCTATGTGCACCCGGCCCTGGTACACCTCGCTCCCCTGCACCGCCGCGTGTCCCTACCTGACTGGAGATGAAGCTCGAGACCCTGATGCTGGGGGGGTGGGGTCCCCGGGATGGAGCAAGGGCTGAGCCCCTGCTGCCCTCTGAGCAAGAATGGCTCTCCAGGTGGGCTGGGAAGATTCGGGGGTGGCTCTGGGGTGATGCTCTGGCCAGGGCAAGAGTGCAGAGACACACACACGGGCTGCTGACACCCACCACCTCAGGGGGGTCACGGTCTCCTTGAAGACAAGCCTTGCCCCCTGGCTTGGCCTCCGGCCCACCCGCCCTGGGCAGCTCGCTGGCTGCTGCAGGCGTCTGGCTGGCCCCGCAGCTCAACATCCTCTGGAAGTGTGGCTGAGACTTGTGCTGAATTCCTGAAGAGAGCCGAAGCTGGCTGGGGAGGAGGGGGCAGGGGTGATTGCCCTGTGAGAAAGGGGGAGGGGTCTCTCTCCAGGGGCTCCTGCTTGAGATGGCCCCTTCTTCCAGACAGTCCCCGAGACAGCTCTGTGGCAGAAAGATTCCTAAAGATCACTTACAGGCAGACGCGAGAGTTGGCACTGAAAAATGTACAGCCTAGAACTGCAGCATCATCACCCCATCATCAACTTTGGCTTCCTGGGATCCCAGGAACTTGGAAGCTGGATTCCTGGGAGCCTCGTTGAAATTTCCTTTCCAAACCATTCAAGTCCGTGGCTAGAGCCCCCGAGGAGGTTAAATCCCCCGGCAAATTAGGCAGGTACAGAAAACATAAACTCACTAGTGCTGTACCCCGCCCTCCCGGCATGTGACCAGGCTTTTCTTTCTAATCGCTCCGGCTGCCCTGGGAAAGACGCTCAGCTTCGGATTTGCTCTGCTGGGGCGGCAGCACATGTCCGTGTCCTGTAATTACCTCGAGCCGGAATTGATTTCCAGCCAGTCTGCCCTCTCCAGCCTGAGCCTCTCCCAGCTCTCTTTTGGGAATAGAGTTTTTCAGAAGGTTGGTTATTGGTGACGCTCACTGAACCTGAGAAGTGACAGACCCCCTCTCACCTGTAGCCCTCACATCACGATGTACCTACCCCGCCTCTCGTCCCTCCATCTCCTCCGCTGACTGAAGTAGCCACTGGGCTTTTCTTCAGAAAACATAAAGATGGGGACAGGCTGACCTTCCAAGGGTACAGAGCAGGGACATGAGGATGGGGAGGACAGGGGCACCTCAGACTCCTCAAGGTGGAAGTCAAGGCACCTCACGCCTTCGCAGCATGCCTGCTAGGGCCTTCTCCACTTGCGACATTGGCACCTACTGTATGCCCGGCATGGTGCTAGGTGTGGGCTCATCAAGGCTGAGCCTCAGCCTTAAAGACTTTCGGGGGGGAAGGAGGGAGGAGCCTGGCTTGGGATTAGAAAGTAGAGGGCACTGATGTATTCATACATTCAACTAAGCATTAAGACCTGCTGCTGTGTACCAACTGCTGGGGAGGTTGCAAAGGGACTCAGAGACCCCCAACGTGCTGTCCCTGGGTTCCTGGAACTCACAAATGGGAGCTGATATTTCTAGAGGCAGCGACAGATGCAGAAGGACCCAGCATTCTGGAGAAGAATGACTGGAGAGGCCAGGCTTGTACGAAGGTCATGGGCTGACGACGGCTGGTTTTGTTAATGGCTAGCAAGGTGGTTCGAAGGGGAAATCCTCAAGTCATTCCTTAAAACCATAAGGGCAGGCAAGTCTGTCCTGGTAACTAAGTGCAGACGGTAGAATGAAGCAGAGCCGGGTGTTAATTGATAGGCCTTTTATATCTCTGTACTTCCGCCTCCACATCCGTAAAATGGGCTTTACGAGAGTAGCTGCCCCCCTGGACTCGTGCTGCAGAGTGACGATGCTGATGGAGATGATGGCACAGGTTAGGCGCTCGGCTCGGCGCCTGACACCCCGTGTACCGCTCGATGCCGAGCTGTTGCAGTCGTCACCAGGAAGCTGATTTGGTCGTGAGGAGGAGGGGGCTCCTCGAAGCCCCCCAGTGAGCCACGGAAGGGCCTGGGAGGCATTCAGAGGAAAGCACTTAGCTCAGCACTCGCTCCTCCAGCCAAGCTCACTACAGTCTTCCCCACCCCTCCCCGCCCCAGCCACCAGCAATTAGCAAACCCTCATCACCCTGCACCGACTGGGAGGCACGGCTATGCTGGGTGTGAAGTCACAGACCGCAGGGCTCGGTAATGCTGTTGAAAACTGAGATTTTAATTGAATCGCTTTTCCTGGCAGTAGACTCACCCCATTCCAAAGTCTCGCCATGGTGGTCAGAGATGCGGGCGGGAACGGAGGCAGGACGGGGAGTGGCTGAGTGGCTGACGATGGGGGAGCCAGGAACTAGGGGAGAGTATGGATGTCTCCCGCCACCTTTGATCTCTCGAGTGAGACGAAGAGCTTGAGGAAGGCTGTGTGTTTCAATCCCCTGCCTCCAACGGACCGATCGGACTGGTCTTGCGTGGGATGTAGGGGCTTCTGATGTGAGCGACGGGCGGAGCTCTCACCCCTCTCCGTGCCACAATTTTCTCCCGCTGCAAAGTCGGGGGAGCCGTAGCACCTACTACCCAGGCGGGTCGCGCATATGAGATACATTAATCTATGTAGAAATGGCTCAGCACAGTGCCCGGACCCGAAAGCACTTCCAGAGCCTCCCGCTTGGTGCCTTCTGCACACCAGGTCTGTGGCTACATGAAGGGCCTCTCTTGTCGCGCTTAATCCCCAGCACGTCCCCGGGGCCTGTGCCTGGCCCTGTGAGCTTCGGAGAAGCGGAGCATCTTGTCTACACACAGTCAAGCCAGCGCGCAAACACCTGCTCGTTCCGCGGCATCGCGGCGCCTTTGATTCTGCTGGCGAGGTCTCGGAAGGGACCTCGGCCCTTCATGCTGTGTGCTCAGCGGCAAAGTGGTGTCCCAGATATTCCTCAAACTCCACGTCTTTCTTCCTCCTTTTGAAGTAAGCACGATGTTCCTAACTTTTGGAAACATGTACAATAAGCGAGCAGAGCCAACGAGGGAGAGCTGGGGACACTCTCAGGACTGGGCCAGCTGGGGCAAGACCATGCAAAGCAGGAGACGGTGCAGGAGGAAAAGATGAGCCGAATGTCTGGGGAAAGAGCTCAGAAGAGAGGAGGGCGAGGCCCGTGGCCTGACGGGCAGTAAGTGCTCTGACACGTGGTCGGTCCTGGCGTTAGCCAGAGGTGGAAAAACGGTGACTGACAAGCTGGACTGAGGCCTCCACATCTGGTTTCTTTGGCCTGTCAATTTCTTTGGAGAAGAAACGTAGTAAACAGGTTAAGAAGTCTGGAGTTGGACCTCCTGGGTTCGAGTCCTGGCTTTGCTACTTTTCAGTTGGTGACCTCAGGCAAGTGACTTTATACTGTGTCTCAGCTGCCCCGCCCAGAAAGCACAAATCTTAATAACGGGAGTGACTTCATAGGATTGCTGAGGACACCGGCTTACTCTAATATCAAAACTACAGACCAATATTCCTCATGTATTTAGACATAAAAATCCTCCCCAAAATATTAGCCAATCGAATCTAGGAACATATAAGAAGGGTAAATACATCAAGACCAAGTTGGTTTTACCCCCAACATGCAAGGCTGCTTCAACTTTTGAAAATCATTCAGGGCGATTCACCCTATTAATGAACTAAAAAAGGAAACCCATACGATCATTCAAAAGATGCAGAAAAAGTATCTGACAAAATTTAACATCCATGCATGATAAAAACGAATCAAACTAGGAAAAGAGAGAGAACTTCTTTAAGGTGATAAAGGGCATCTATAAATAGCCTGCAGCTAACATCACATTTAGTGATAAAAGAGAAAACGCTTCCCCCTTAAAATCTGGAACGAGGCAAGGAGGCCTGTTCTCACCACTCCCATTCAGTCAGCATTGGACTGGAAGCTCCAGCCAGTGCAATAAGGCAAGAAAAAGAAATCAAAGGCATACAGGAAGGAAGAAATGAAATCGTTTCTATTCACAGATGACATCATGGTCTTCATAAAAAAATCACAAAGACGCCACCAAAAGAAGCTCCTAAGAACTAACAAGTTAGTAGAGCATCAGGGCACTGTTAATATGCAGAAACTCTATTGGATGTCTATATATTAGCAATGAACCATTTGAAATTAAAAATTGGATTCTTTTTAAAAAGTAGATTTCCAAGTTTCCTTGAAAAACCAGAAGAATTGGCATTAAGCTCATATTCCCAGAAGGTAGTAATCCGCTGGAGCTGAGGACGAGGGATGTGTGTGTGTGTGTGTGTGTGTGTGTGTGTGTGTGTGTGCACATGCACACACGTACATTAAATAGGTGATGACATTTATGTTATTCAAAAACCTAAAAATATAGTCGCACGTTGTAATTTCGACGCTCTCATTTTTTACCCTCCACAAAATGAGCACACTATACACACTGTCCTACATCTTGCTGTTTTCACTTGTATGTTAATCATCCATAGCGGTATCTATGAAGATTTTCATTCGTTTATGGAGCTGCATAGTGCTCCGTTGCATATTTGTGCCCTGATTCATTTAATAGCCGCCCCTCTCGAGAGCACACACGC